ACACTGGTAGCGGAGCCCGGTATGCTCCAGTAGTTCCTGCCATGTCGTACCTGGCACTGTGGGCCAGCTTGTTTGTCTATGTCCTTGTGATTTGTCATGCCTGTGCGTTTCCATCTTTAGATCGTGCTCTGAGATGGAGGTCGTTGTCAGCGCCGTCGTGTGCTACATGGTCTGCTCCGGCTTTAGACTGTGCTCTGAGACGGAGGTCTTCTAGTTTGGCGCCGTCGTGCGCTACTTGGTCTTCTCTGGCTTTAGATAGTGCTCTGAGACAGAGATCTTCTAGCTTGGCGCCGTCGTGCGCTACATTGTCGTCTATGGTGCCATCGTGCACTATGTTATCCTTGGCACCGTCGTGCGCTTCTTCTTTGTCCTTCTGGCCGTCTTGTTGGGCACCGCCCTCGAGCTCTTACAGTATTACCGTTGCTATGTCGTTCGCCTCGCACACATCAGCCTCAGCGTCGCCATTGAGTACAATAGTGCCATCCATGGCCTGCTCATCCTCTACGACCCTGTCATTTACAACCACATCCTCTTCATCAACATTGTCAACTCGCACGTCCTCTACATCAACGTTGTTGACGGCCACGCGTTCTACAACAACATTATCGACTACGACGTCCTCTACATCAACGTGTTTCCCGGCCACACCTTCATCAACCTCGTCGGCTACCACATCCTCTACATCGCTAGTTCTGATAGCCACATCCTTTACATCCACATCTTGGACGACTACATCCTCTGCGTCAACATCATCGTCTACCACGTGCTCTACATCAACATCGTTGGCTACCACATCCTCTACATCAACTACGTGGGCTATCACATCCTCTACATCTACATCGTCGACTACCAAGTCCTCTGCATCAACATCGTCGACTACCACACCCTCTACATCAGCTACGCTGACGATGACGTCCTCTACATCAACATCACCGCCTACCACGCCCTCTACATCAACATCATTAACTACCAAGCCCTCTGCATCAACTACGTTGACTCTCGCATCCTCTACATCAACAACGTTAACTACCTCATTGCCTACATCAACGTCGTCGACTACCACATCCTTTGCATCAACATCGTTGACCCCATCCTTTACATCAACGTCATCAGCTGTCTCATCTTGTACATCAACATGGTCTACGAGCACATCGTCTGCAGCAACGTCCTCATCCTCTACAACCTCTTCATCTACATCATCTACGTCAAGTTCTTCTACCAGCAGCAGCACAACATCATCCTCGTCCACCTCCTCTTCAACTTCCAGCGCGAGCTCATCTTCAACTTCCACTTCAAGTTCTTCTACGTCAACGAGCAGCACCTGCACGCCGTCAATAAGCACTAGCACTTTATCGTCGTCATCAACCTCATCATCTAACAGCAGCACCTCCTCCATATCCACATCCTCTTCTACTACATCAACGAGCGGCACAAGCACATCCCCAAGCAGCTCATCCTCGAATACCTCATCCACCGCTTCGTCTTTCGCGAGCAGCAGCTCTACGTCTCCATCACCTACTTCCAGCTCGAAGACTGCTAACACTTCTTCCGCCTCTACGTCTACTTCATCAACAACAACCAGCAGCGCTAGCACGTCATCAACCAGCACGTCTTCTACAAACAGCGTCACAACAAGTATATCTTCTACTTCCACAACATCCAGCACTACATCGTCCCCTCCAACATCTTCAAGCAGTACAAGTGGCAGTTCATCGTCTACCACTTCTTGTACCAGCACTACTTCGACAACTTCCAGTACAACCACCAGTTCAACTACATCGACGACTTCCACTTCTTCAACAATGAGCACGTCTAGCACCTCTGCGTCTAGTTCCTCCACAAGCACTACTACCTCATGTTCACCTTCCACTTCTTCCTGCTCCACCACCACACCTTCCACCTCTACAACATCATCCACGTCAACGTCGACAACTTCAAGTAGCACAAGCAGCAGTGGCACTTCTTCGACACCGTCCTCAACCGCTTCGGCGTCCAGCACGACAAGCGCCACATCAAGCACGTCCAGTACCAGCAGTTCATCAAGCGCTATAACCACCTCACCCTCTAGCAGCAGCTCCACGGGCGCGTCTTCTCCTACATCTACGACGACTTCATCAACATCCAAAAGCACCACCTCTACAACTTCATCTTCATCATCGAGCGCAAGCAGCAGCACGACAACCACCTCGCGTCGAGCTCGTCCTCATGCAGTTCGTCAACGTCATCAGGTTGGGGCTGCTGGCGCCTTCTATAACAATCGAGAGCTGCACTCTGCTCTACAACCACGTCCGCCAGAACGGTGCCTTCTACATCCACGTCTTCTACACCAACAAGCTCTAGGAGCACGCCCTCTACGACAACAACATCCCCAACCACATTCTCTAAGACAACGCCCCCTCCGAGCACATCCTCAACGGCGCCATGCTCTATGACCTTGTCCTCTGCAGCTCCTTCGTCCATAATGCCTTTTACGACCTCTATGGCATGAACATTCCTAATGAGACCACGCTTCAGTCAGCATTTTATGGTTCAGAGATTTTGAACCAGTGTGAAACCCAAAGGGATTTGCGCATTTCACGCACAAATCGAGAAGTGTCTGTCTGCAAGGCATTTGGTTTTGACTCGCACAAGGAAAATGTGCGCCTGTAGTTTCACACTTAGGGCTTAGCACAATCACAGGAAACTCTCAACGGCAGCCCTAAACCCTAAACCCTAAACCCTTGAGTCACATTGGTTCCAGGATCTGAAATACTTGTAAGCCAGGGCGGCGGTCATTTCCCTAAATGCCATACCCCAGACCCTAAGCCCTACATGGCCCCCCTAAAACCTAAACTCTAAGGGATGATGCGAATCATAGTCGGGTCTCTAGGTAGGCATTCCTAGTTCACCACTACTGCTGACACTAAAAATCCTGCATTGACCTAACCCTACTTATAACTGGGGCAACCCCTATAAGCCCTTTTAGGGGGATCGTAAGTAGGGTTATAAGCCCAGTTATAAGTAGTTACTAAGTCCCACGGGCCTCCAAGTATAATCCCCAAGGTGAAAGGTGACTACGGTGATGAAGGATTTCAAGTCTCCACCATATTATTGGATAGGGCCTATCCTTAGACTAAACTGGCCTCAGAACCCAACTAAAAATTTTGATTTTTGGTTGTTGTCGGGATTATGGTAGCCAATAATTGAAAACCATTTTGGAGGCCCCTATAGTAGATGTAGGATCGGTTCAAAACAGTTCAGCAATGGGTGGAGCTGCCCTTTGGCGTAAGAATGATGACCATCAAGGCTTAAAGTAGGTATCAGGATAGAAGGCCTATGGATATGCATGGATTTATAAGGATATGTATATTAAATGTATATGTAGTGAGGGCTTCCTAGGGTTTAGAATCTATATTCGCAACAAGTACGGAATCGCAAAGACTGCCTACTGCCGGGGTTGAAACGGGGCCGTATGGGCTTCCATGCTAATCTGAGGGAGGGTCGGTATCAAGATCATTTTTGCCGCAGCAAGAGGATTTCAGGCAGCACCAAAGAGGGCGATCTCCACCCCGTCGCCCCAAGCGCATGCCCCAGATGGGCTTCCCAAAACTAGGGGTACATATTTTGGGGTCCTATAATAAAGACTATAATATTTTTGGGTCTATACTGGGGTCCCCCTATTTCGGGAAACTACCACATGATGATCGGTAAGAATTCTGAGCAAAGCAGAAACCTGGTGCATCTTACACCGGCAGCTCAAGGCGCCAAACCCCCACTACCGCCTTTGCTGCGCAGTTGTATGACATGTTGTAGTATGTCATAATTCATTATGATATACTATATAACATCATGTATGTTCTAATGAACTATAGTATACCATAGTACACTGTATGACATATTGTAGTATACGGTACATATAACATACTATATTACAATATACTAGAGTATACCAGAATACACTCTAGTATATTCTTTGGCCTGTCTTGTTGCCAAAAATACGCGCGTACTCCTAGGCTCCTCACCTTGGTCCCTATTGCTCATGTACATGAGCTATAGTCTGAACTTTTAGGGTTTAGGGTTTAGGGTTTAGGGTCTAGGGTCTGAACTCCTAGTATCCCCCTTAAGAACCCCCATAATACTCCCCTGTATAATCCCCTATATAACTCCCTTTACGGAGTTTAGACTGTTGCTCATATGAACTCTTGTTGATGCTAAAGAAACCCCTTACGGTTCAGGTTTAGGGTCGAGGTGGCCTTGGTTGGACTATACCACCATACTTCCCCAGGTATAAGTTAGGTGGACCCCCCACCCAGCAATAGTGACTATAAAGGATAATAAGGATTATATTAGGGTCCTCTTATATTCCTATTATACCACCATTGCAGGGTGGGGGGTCCTCCTAAACTATACCACCATACTTCCCCAGGTATAGGATGCTTAGGGTCATTCAAGATGGTTTGGTTTCTGCCGCGTCTTCTTACTACTTCTGCTCCTCAGGAGCATCACAACTGTGCTTCACATTTCTACTCCCTTCAAGCCCTGAATCGTCAAAGCTACGTGACGGGCTGGGGAACTTAGCGAAGTAAACAAAAGTGTAACCCACTAGGAGAGCTCACCAAGCAAAACTTGCATCACTTCTGAAAACGGCATATGCCGACATGTGCTCCACCCTACAAGGACCTATGGCATGCGCCTAAGAGCCGCAGCCGCAGCCTGAAACCCTTAAACCCTCATGCCTACGCCCCAAAGCCTAAGCCCTCAACCCTGAAGCATAGCCCCGGATCCCTAACCCCTAGAAGCTAATCTCCAAGCCCTAAACCCTGATTCCCGAACCCTGAACACTGATCCCTAAACCCTAAACCACCCTCAACCCTGACTGAGCAGGCGACCTCTTCGCGGAAGCTCCGCGCTGGCAGCATCGTTGACTCTTCCTGCTTGTCAGAAAATCGAAACTACTATAATGGGTTTAGGGTTTAGGGTATATTGGGGTTCTATAGGGGATAATGGAAGAGAAAATGGAGACTGCTGTATAGACTTAGTAAGTGGGCGAATAATGGGGACAACGAGGCAAATAGGGTTGTTGTGTAGTTCACGGGGTTATCAATATACTGACTAAGTCCTTTTGACTCTCCCTGACAGAAGCTGCGACGCGTAGAACGCAGAGGGTTCAGCCAAAGCTTAAATCATAACAACAATGGCTGTGACTTAGTAAGCAATGGAGGAAAGGAAAATCGAAGGGGAACTACTAAAGGTTGTACATTTTGGGGTTCAGGGATTAAGCCAGCCGCTTTCTGGGTGTTTATCAGTGGACAACCAAACAGCCAAGTAAATGGAACATGAAATCTTAACCGGGGGGTTGATATGGACATATGAGCTTTCGTCTAAACTCCTAGTATCCCCCTTAATATCCCCTATACTAATCCTCTATGTCATGCCCTATATGACCTCTTGTAAGGAGTTTAGGTGATAGCTCATGTAGACGTAAGCAGGGTTAAGGATTGAACTGAAGACAGCTCTAAACAAGGGTTTCTGTTGTTGAGGGCTTTGAGTCCACGGTTTCCCGAAACAGTACAACCACCAAGGAAAAAGATTCCAAGGGAGCACACTAAATTAAGAACCCTCAAACAAATATTCTAGATTCTATGACATCCCTACAAACGAAACCCTAGACCCCTCGAATGGTCACAGGGACTTTATAGGTATGCAACTAAGCCCTACAAATCATGTATCACCCCGGGTTTCCCCATTATAAACTTGCTTGATAATGCCCCCTGACCCTCCAAGTAGCTTACCATCCTAAAACCCCTAGACCGTAAACCCTAAACCCTGTGAACCCTAAACCCTGAACCCTAAACCCCTTATCCCGCTCCAGTGCTTGCAACACCGACAGGGCTGCACTGCAGGCAGCTCTCCTGTCCTTAGATGTGATCTCATCCCCTCTCCCAATAAGTAAATAAGCGTTTAGGGTTTCGGGATTTAGGATTTAGGGTTTAGGGTTAAGGGTTTAGGGTTTGACGTTTAGGGTACAGGCTTTAGGGTTTAAAGTTTAGGCTTTAGGGTTGAGGGTTTAGGATTCAACGTAAAAACACCCTCCCAATACAGTAACCTTACAAAAGCGGGTACATTTATCATTGGGGGGGAGGGGGAGGGGGGGGGTGATGGTTGATTGATACTGTCGATAAGGGACATGTTGCACCACCTAAAGTTCTTGAAGTGCCGGGATTACCAGGGGGTCAAGGACTTCAGGCGGTGCAAGATGTCCTCCGTCAACCATATATTCTGGGGGCCTTGCGACTCAAAATACATGTCATATGAGCTATAGCCTAAACTCCTAGTATGCCCTTACTAACCCCTATAATAGGAGTTGAGAGTATAGCTCATATGGGATTTTCAGTAGATCTTCTTGAGTTATGTTAGATTTGCCATGCAACTTTTTAGCTACAGGGGTTATAAAAGCGATGATGTGACCAGTTCTGCGAGCTTCTACATTGAGGGCCTGGACGATCTGACCAGTCTGTTTGCTGTACGCTCTAAAGCGGACATTCCATTCTAGAGTTCAAACCACAAACCCTACATGCAAACCTCACCTTGATATGAACATCCCCTTCGTGCTGCGGTCTCTTCAAAAAAAGGACCGTTTGTGATTCCACGTTTGCTTGGGGGAGGCCAAATGTAGATCAGGATGTCAAATCTTGACATCTGCTGGCAAATCTCTAGTATATGGGTGTTTCCACAGACGGGAGTGTCCCCCTAACCTATCCCGAATTACAGTAATCTTTCTGAGCTGGACCCCACAGGAGGCATCCTAATTTTTTGCAACCTAAACACTGTTTGTGCTACAGCAAACCTGGGTGCTTGGGCTTTTTTGCTTGAAAAACACTTACAAACTTGCTGGCAGTTGGAGAGCAATGGAGAATGGATCGGCATAGTAGTCTCTATGTAAACTCCAACGGAACTAGAACTAGCCTGCTCCATAGTTCCCTACTCACCAATAAGAACAAAAGTAACTTGACCAACACCCAAGTCTGCGGAACATCTAGGTAGTCTGTCCATATTGCTTTTACCACGTTCGGGCTATTATTGCGGGAGACCAGAACGGTTCCGTTTTCGTCGTCCAGCTCCTAGTCTCAGAACAACCATTGGCGAGGAGCAGGGGTGTTGGAAACCTCGCGACGATCCCTCATACCCAGCCATGCGAAGTGAATAGTAGCATTAGGGCATTCAGAAGCCTGCAGAAAGAGGTTCCGAACCATGCGGGCGATGGTCTGTTTCCATTTTATTTTCCATTATCCCTATATAACCCTATATAAACCCCATATAACCCATGATAGTAGATTCCATTTTATTTTCCATTATCCCAATCAGAGTTTAGTATGTTCGTCCAGCTTAATCTTCTGCAGTTTCGCACTGTGCTTCCAATGCTCCTCACCGCCCCTGCTGTCCTGTGCCAACACGATCACGACCACGACTACCCAACCTTC